CGGGAGCATAAAGCCCACACCACTGTCCCAGGGCCAGTGCGAGCAGGGCCCAGAGCAGGCCGGCAGGGGTACAGGATCCCGGCCGGCAGGGGCTCTATGGAGCTCCCCCTTCCCCCTGCCGGTGCAGCCCAGCCTGGCTCCACAGACCCCTGCCAGCCTCTGCCCTGCTCTGGGCCCCACTGGTGCTGGCCATGGGACATTGGTCCCAAGATGGTGACCAAGGGGCGAGGCTACCCGTGTGGCCTCGGCAGCTTGCCAAAGCTGGGTAAGCGACCCTCCACCTGAAATAATTGCCCTCCCCTGCATTAAAGGTACATTGTAAAGACCCTATCTTGTAAAAATCAGTGTCTTTTCTAATTACCTAAAGTTATTAAAACTAAAGAAATTTAGCAAAAATCTATTTTATATTATATAATATTTACTTTTTCTATTCTGGCTTTGAGTGTTACTACACTGGTTCAAGAGCTCTCAAAAGTGGTCCCAGTAACTCCTTCAAACACGCCAATTCTTTGTTGCATAGTGATGCATTTTTTTTACAAACAAGGCTCCAACCTGCCTCTCTGAAAGTTCATAGTACATAAAAAGAGGAGAAGAGAAGAGAAACTGGCCTTAGGGATCATGGGGAAACATATAAAGCATCAGGGAAGTATCTTCAGGGGAGAAGAGTACCAAGTAACAGGATATGTTGTCAGAGAGAGAGAGAAAGAGATATGTACCAAGTGCTGAAAACATAAGTGCAGGAGAAGAAACAGGAAAAGACATGAACAGCAACATTAACATTGTCATTAACTTTCTGTAAAAGAACAAGCCATTGGCTTGCTGATATGCATGCATTTTTTCATATAAGCAACTGATGTAACCATTACAGAACCCCCTGGCAGATCTTATACTTAAGATGTAATTCCCTTATTTACTCAAATACAAAATGAGTGTTTTTCCCTCCCAGTTGGTGTGGTGGGGGAAAAAAGACCTTCATCTTATAATTGCGTACTATGAAATCTCATTAAATACATTGTCTCTCATTAAACTGCTGTCAAAAGCAGCATGCGCTCAACAGTGGAAACCAACTGTGAACTAGATTAAAAGAAGCCAACACTGAGCCTGACTATAAAATACATTACCCACACTGGGCCAATATACTGATGAGAGTCTACCACAAAAATAGGTTAGTGCAGCCTATTAAGTGCAATCTTCTTCACCGCTGACTCTTTTTCAAGTCATAATGAGCCACAACATTGCATACAGTTCACCCAGACAGTTCAATTACTCTGTTGCCTACTCTGTCAGCCTGGTGCATATCAGCCTGGTGCATATGGTTAGTGTGGCCCTGCCTTCCAGGTTGCCCTGTTACCCGTCTGCATATACATTTTTGGAGCATCCTGGGAATGTGAACAGTTAAACAATTAATTGTTTAATCGAAAAGCTCAGGGATAACTGGCTAGCTTACTTTATTGTTTAACGTGGGGCAAGGCACAGTCCATCAGGGAAGGCGGGGAAGGAAAGCCAGGCAGGAACCAGGAGGCAGCAGGGCAGGCAGGGAGGAAAGAGTGAGGCTAGGGGGGCGGGGTGGGACGAAGTATCCATAGCTTATGGCAGGGGTTGTCAACGGGGGTGGTATGCGTACCCCCAGGGATACGTGGGAAGGCCCTAGGGGGTATGTGTGGGTAGGCAAGTAGGAATGGAGCACCGCCACCCACCACCCTGAGCCACCGCCACCCAGGAGCAGGGTGGGGTGAGGGCACTGGCACCCCTCTGCGGGCCACACAGACACAATCCAGTCAGCCAGACACAGGGAGGGGAGAGGGGGAAGATTGCACATAATGGCAGCCACCGCCACCTACCACCCTGCGCTGCTGCTGCTCTGCATGTGGCCACTGCCACCCCTCCCACCCCTCTGCTCTGCATCTGCCTGGGCACCATCCTTCCCCCCACCCCCAGCTCTGCATCTGGCTGCCGGGGTTGCACTTACTGAAACAGATTGAAAAACCCTGGCTTATGGGCTTAAAGAGGTAAACGGCAAGCAACCTAATGACTTATCAGTTAAGCCAGTAGCTGCTTCTTCATAGGTGCTCCCTCCCTCCCAGTATGGGGCTAGCTGCCCAGGCCCCTGGTCCTACTCTGTTTTGGGCAGTGAGTCTGCTCTTTTGCCAAAAAGCACTCCACGTCCTGGTGGGACACCTGCATGCCCTCACGCACTATTGGGACCTCCAGCAACCCAAACCACCAGTTAGAATATAAACTGAAAATCCATCTCCCACCTTAACACAATGGATCTCGCCTTGGGGCAGAAAAGGTACATCATCTCTTTAACTTGTCCAAGCCTGAGTTGGGCAGTCTCCAGTCACCAGTAGAATTGGCCAGTCCACTAGGGCAAATGAAGTACTTCTGGGCAACTCACCCCTGGGCTTCTTCTTGCCCAATTCCCAAAGTCCAATCCCAGGGTTCCTCAGTGCTATCTGTCTCTTTTGCCGTCCTCTTGAGAGGGTGCTGTTCCCAGGCAGGGCTTCCTCCCATGGCTCTGCGTCACTGCAGTCACCACTGCTGCATTCCTCTGGCACCTCTCAGAAGCCCTTATCTCTGTCTCCCCATTATCACCTGGGGACAATTACTCCTTGGCCCCCAGGTGATAGTCTTTCTAATTAACAGCTAATGAGCAGCTACCTGCCACATCTTATCTCACCTCCTTGTTTGCTCACCCCTTCACCATTACCATGAATCTGCTCTCCTTTCCTAAGAGAAGGCTCCCACTACAAGTACACACACATGCTGAGCAGTGTTGAGCTGTGCAGTCATCAAATGCTTTTACTCTGGAGGGGCCCAGCACAATGAACTATGTGGTAAATCACAAGCCTTTGCTTTTGGACTAATATCGTGCATAGTTTGTACATAAATAGGTGCCGAAGTGCTGCTCAAAAATGTGTTAATGGAGCACCTGTGCTAAAATTACAGTAGTTTAAAAAAAAAGGTAACATGCATCAATTCTGGATAAACTAAGTGCATGGGTAATATATACAAATTACCCACTACAGCTGTGTCTAATGTTAAGGTTATTGTTTTCAAATTTGCTCCTTACCTCCACGTGCTCAGGGAGAACAGGGTCTGACAGTAAGGAGAGGAGGAAGGGGAAAGAGTTGGCAGGAAGCAGAGAGCAAAGGGCTACCTTACCCGCCCCCACCCCC